TCCCCAGGGCACGTGAGGGTCCCCAGGGCACGTGAGGGTGCCAAGGGCACGTGAGGGTACCAAGTTCAATTGCGAGAGCCAGCATATGCTTTAGCAAGTACACAGGTAAACGAGAACGCAAGTTTGTGGAATGCGTGTCGTGAGCGCATGCTGCCGGCAGGACCTTAAACTTCCCTCTCAAGCCGCCGTCACAGTTACAAATTACTCGCTATGCGCAGAGAACGCTAATGACCTCTACAGGAAGTCTACAACAACGCACCTAATATTAGAAATACGCACATTGTAGTTCCGCTGACATACACGCTGGTACTGAACAAAACGTTTCTTGCAGATATCAACTCGCATGTTTGGAGACCAACTGATAAAGAAATTGTTTATTGCGAATATGAGGAACATGCAGTGTGTTTATGGACACTAGACACGACGTCCTGCACACCTCATTTGACACTTGAATACTCATTTCATAATCGGCGAATAGCCTCCAGCATTCACCATTTACGTCAAACAACCGTGAGTCTCTGCCACGCATAAATTTGTGCGCATTATTATGCGAAAAAACTCCTTGGGATCATTCGAACTATCAACCTCTTTTACCACGCGTCCTGTGGTTAACATTAGCTGAACTTAAGCCGTGGCGTATGTACGTGTAAAGGTTGCCAAGAAATAGTAGCACCCTCGGTAATCTGAAGATACAGAATTACGTGAACTCGAATACTATAATCTGGGCGAATGATCGTAATCAACTGTCAGCGGCTGCCACAAAGCAACCAATGGAACAACCAACTACAGAGTCCCTCCCTACTGTAAGAATCTATATTGTCAAGCTCTTGAAAACAGAAACACGAGAAGGGACATTGTTATTGGAGAAGACGACCAACACGCTAGATATGTTAACTTCCTGATTAACAGATCAGAAAGAACCATTACATTTATGTACTTTATCAATCGTGACAAAAACATCGTAAACGTAAAGCCTAGTAAGAGAGGGTAAAATTCAACTCAAAATATATTAGAGAATGGTCTTGTAGTTGTGAAAACAAAAAAAATATTAGATTATGAAAGGAAAGTCATTATTTGACGAGTTAATAACGAGGCAAGTATTCAGAAAACGGTCATCAGTGACATTTCGTGTAAAAGTGGAATATATTTTTTTATGCGAACACCCTAAAATACACATCTGTGGAAGTAGACTGCTAAAATATTTATCATTCCGTAGTTTTGAGTTATTATCTGCAAGAGAACAGGACAGCTTTTGTACATCCCCCAAAACATCCAGTAATAACAACTCGCAGTCTCGTACTCAAATAATTGCAGTTCAACTTCAATATGTAATATCCAGTAGCCATTTCCAGTCTTTGTCCAAAGAACACTTTTTAGAAAATTAACTTTACTCACCACTAGGAAACACACACTGAAAGGCACAGGTTCAAGGAAGTTGCATAGTCCACTTACCTGAAAAAGAAAAAAAATCGTAAGTATTTAAACAGTGTAAGTCAGTAACCAAGAACAAGCATACAGAAATAACCAAATGATCTATCGAAATGGCGACCCAAGCTCCAAAAGAAATAAAATATCATTCATAAAATTGTCAATGTCACACGTGTGCACGTAGTTTATTAACTACTTTCAAAGCAGAACAACGAATTTTCACAAAGGAAACTTCAATTACAGCTATCAGTTATTTGAGTCCTTGTAAAATCAAATACGAAATTACATACTCAATCAGGACAAGCCGGTCAATTGATGACACTGCCATGCCTCTGACTGGGAGGTCCTAGGGTTTGACTCTCGACATTGGCAGGACTTTCTATCTTAGCTAGGTCGACTTCAGCCACTGTCTGGAGGAGAATTCTATCGGCTGGCTGCTCTGATCGGTAGTTTTCCGAGGTTTCTCCGATCAACACCAGGCGAATGCCCGAGCAGAACCCTAACAAACAGACCACGGACCGTGTGCGATCTTTCCTACATCTTCCTTGTGCTATCCTGTCCCCTTACACACACAATAACATGCACTACACCATCACATATGTTGGAAGACCGGTCGAGAGCTTAGAACTTGTCCCGGGTGGGGCGGTGCTTAGCTGGTCGGAGATACCTGGTTTGGGAAAACCCTGCTACCCGACGGCGGGTCGGCGCAATATCTCGCCAGAATCAGTGATCAACCAATTAATTAATCAATCAATCGGACTAACGCGATAGGAAAGGGCGTGCTTTGCTTGAAACGTACATCACACTGAGTATAAAAGTCGGCGAATCTTATCAGGTGGTGGAATCTTGGAACTTGGGAGGTAACCTGGTGGTTGCAGGATCCAACCAGTGAGAAGAATGCACGAAAATACCTTCTTAGCAGTGGTTCCTTCAAGGATAGACGAAAATCTTAAACAGTATAGACACATGCAAGCAGTATGACTCTCAGAATGTTACAAACTTCTAGGTCATGTAGGAATGAAGGAAATGATCACATTTTGCCAATGAACAACTAGTGGGAAATATCGTGTAACGGAGTTGAAGGAATTTATAGAGGATATTGATATTTCGCCATCAGAGGGTACACCTACTCTAGTCGTGGCAATTTGGCAACCACGTAGAATTCCTTTAGCATCCCTTCCTCTCAAAGAGACCCCTCCCACAGGTGTGTGTAGCAAGATTGCGGGGTGAGCTGAATCTGTGGGGTGGGAATTTAGAATCTTTGAAAAGTGATTAGGTGCAAATTGTGTAATATCGAATGCTAATAGGAGCAGTAATAGTTTTCGCCCATAATTGGTGAGCATACATAAATAAAAATTAATACTGAAACCCTTTGTTTGTGTATAAAGAATATTCACGTTTAGAGAGAAATTAGTACACATACTTTGTTGATTAAAAGACCTGCATCGATTAACTGAATTGACGTAAGAAGGTCTTCATGCATTTGTTTCGGCTGAAAAAAGTCATACGAACATTTAAATGTATTTGGTGAACTAAAAATTATTTACTGTGAAACGCGTTGGAGTGTGCGGACATGGAGTAAAAGTTCCGCAAGACGCAACAATCACATTCACTATTACCATTACCATCAAGATTATTTGATTTTATTTATCGTGAAAGAACAGTAAAAACAGAATTTACGCACAATATGAGCATTATCACTTGGCCTGCAGAATCTCTTATGAATACGATTGTTATTGCAACTCCAGTCTTCGAGTGGCTCTGAAACTCGTCGGTTCAGCCTCCCCCATCGTCTCCGAGGCTCCACAGAGCTTAGACCCCCCCCCCACAAGGCGCGCACTGCACTAGGGGGGTTACCATGGAAATGCTTCTGGATCTCCCGAATGTCGCTCGCGTGTTTATTTTAATGGGCCAATAAGACGAGTAAAACCGTCGGCGCGAGAGACGGCAGAGGAAGTACGTGATTCCAAGCACACGCGTCGATTGCCAGATCGAGTGGGTGTTTAGCTCCGAGCCAACAGTGCCGCTGTCTCTGCAACAACTCTGACCGGGTGGTCTAGGGTTGGAGTCCGAGAAACAAAGTTAGATCGAATTCATCCACTGTCTGAAGATTTCGAGTTGGCGGCTGCTCAGATTAGAGTTTTCCGAAGTTTCTGTGATTGATGCCAGGACAAAGAAGGAACAGTACCTTTGCAAATGGATCACGGACTGCATGCGATTATTTCTTCCTCATCTTATCCTCTTATCCTCCATCTTATACATCCATCGTCTTATCCTCTCACCTTATCTACTCATTGGTTGGTGTACACCTTCAAGTATTACACCACCATACATGACGGGAGACAGGATGGGACTTTAGAGAGCGACTTTTTTAACTGTGTCCCGTCTGCACATTGGTATTATCTCTGCATTTCGAGTCTTTCCCGGTCGTGCCGTTAGATGTCGCATGATCACAACTGTATCAACCCTGTTTGATACGATCTGGACATCTAGCAGCATCACCAATGCAGTGACATAATGCCAATACGAAGACGGGGCTCAGGTGCACTGTTAAAAAATTGCATTAAAAGAGTTAGTCCCGGATGGTGTAGTATTCCCGAGTGAGAATTCCCACAACCCGAGGTGTAGGTCGGTCCGTATCTCACCATCCAGCGTGGGCAGAACACCGCCATTTCCCGGGATAACAAAGCAGTTTACGTGCTCGGAAAAATTAACCCATCAATGGCGGAAAAAACGAAGCATTTTTCGACAGATTTACTGTTCTTAAGTTTCAACACTTAAGAGCAGCCGCTAAAAATCCCATCGCGCAATAAAAGCACCTTTAAAAGTATAAAATGTACGTGAGTGAGGATAGAGGACGGATCGAGAATTATTGGTTGGTTGGTAGCGATTCCGGGCACGTCAACTACTGAGGTCATGAGTCTCGGAAGTGTAGTGCATGTTTTTCATTGCGGTCGGTAGCGTGGATCTTCTCTCGCTGGATGGTGAGATCCAGCGCTGATCTACCGCCGGTCAGCGGGGTTCTCACAACCACGTATCTCCAACGGGGCACCGCCCCAGCCGGGACAAGCACTAAGCTCCCGACCAATCTCCCGACATGTGTGGTAGTGTAGTAAATGTTAGTGTAATTGTGTGTAAGAATAGGGTGACGATAGGACAAGGAAGAGGAAGGTAAGATCGCGCGAGGTCCGTGGCCCGTTTGTTACGGTACTGCTCGGGCATTCTTCTTGGATTGATCGGAGAAATAACCGAATACTTTCAGAGCAGCCGGTCGCTAGAGTTCCCCTCCAGACAGCGACTGAATTCGACGTAGCTGCCCAGCTAGTGTCGAAAGTCCTGCCACCTTCAGGACGGGAACCCTAGAAAGTCCCGGTCAGAAGGACTGCAGAGACATCAGTTAATGCCCTGAGCCGGAGGATCGAGAATGCGGACGAAATGTCTCGGGCAGGGTATATCCAGCGTAAGGTTCCGCCCTTCGCTTCCTTGTAATGCCAGGGGGATTACTTCCCAGACTAGACGGACACCCAGACTCATGGCCTTTATCCACACCCCTCGCGGGCGTACAAAGTACACCTTCGGGCTTGCAACCGGATACGTCGGAAGGCGACACCACACCGGGGCGCCTCCCCAATTAAGCCTGAGTAGAGCCGCTCTGCCGACTTAGAACTAGTGGCTGTTCGGGCTAGCACCGGAGTCTAATTAAACTCCACTCCGTCCAATGCGCCGGGACAAATCCCTACTCAGTTGCCCTTGAGTATCAGTCACTGCCACGACGAAGCCAAGAGCCCACCTGGGCACCACCCAGACCAAAGCCCGGGTGGTTAGGGTTCTCCAACCCATCTCTTCACTGCATACACCTTGACGCTATCGACGTGAGTATCGCCGAAATCTAAGCAACTGGACCTGATTCTTGATCCACGTTAGAATTTTATACGTGGATTTGGGAAGAAGACCCACGCCCAATCCTGAGCGTCGTGTCTAAGGGCCCACCTGGTGAGTTAGCGAGCGAGCCAGTCAACACGGAGCTTAGCCATGCCATATCACTGTACCCACCTTAAGGCTAGCGACGTGAGTACCGCAAGGAACACCGGGTCCGGGTGGAAATTTTCACCTCCAAGAGCGTCAGGACTTGCGACAGTCTGTCTCTCCCCTGCGGGGAATATCTCGTGCAGACTCTGACCCGTTCGTTTAGGTACTACTCCGGCATTCGCATGCTATCCGTGATCGGGGAAACTACAGATTAGACCCGCTGCTAAACTTCTTCTTGAAATAGCAGCGGAATTTGACGTACGGAAATCCGCCACAGATGGAATCCGGCAGCCGGGTAGACACACTGTAGTCGATAGTTGTCGTCATGACATATTTCAGATAGATCATAAAATGTATAAATGTAGATTCGTACCAAAGTGACATTATTTTGTATTTCAAAGATATTTTGCCTATTTCCATTTCCTTCAGTAGTGCCTTAAAATGCCTATTTACCTAATTTGGCACACAAACACCGTAATCCACATACGCTTTTATTGGTTTACGATCAACTGGCCGGTTATGGAGACTGGTATATCACAGATTTTCTTTTTTTAAATTTACATATGAAATATATAACTTTTTGTATAAAAAATTATTTCGAGAGATACGTTGTAGATAAATTAACACAGAAATGAGTGTAACGTTCGGGTTACATGTAACATTAAAGAGAAAGTAATAGAATCAACAAATTCTAATAATTTTAAATGTTTCCTGACGTCACAAAAGTCAACGAAACTTACGATTAAAATTACAATAATCAGATTTTCTTTGGCCTTGCAAATACAAATTAGGTCTTCGCAGAATATACAGAACGAAACAACATGTTATTTATTGATCCAAAAAGAGGAAAACAGAAAGGCTTTCCGAGAAGAAGCCCACGAGAGGGATAGAAGCCCAAGATTCCTTGGCCTCTTCATAACAACATTAATGGGATGATGCATAACTTGCCGGGCCTCGGGAGTTAATGTAGCGATTTATGCCTTCGCCGAAGTCTC